AGGCGCAAAGGAAATAAATAGCTCACTGGAGGCCAGACACACTCTCTCTGGCACACATTCCTGTTGACAACCCACAAGGAGCTACGCTGATGGAGCCAGAGCCCTGGAACTGGAGGAGCCACATGGAGACCCACACAAGCACTGAGATGCTTCCACCACCACTGGATCCACAAGACTTTCCGGCCACTGCCCTGTGATCTTCCTGCATTCGGCATCATTTCATGTGTTGCGTGTGTCCGAAAAGGAATTTATAGACTGGTATTGGGTCTTTGGACTAATATTAGACTTATGGACCTGATATGGACTGGGCTGGGATGTTTTCTTCAATTACTCTTTGATATAAAGCTTTCCTATACATACATGAGTGCCCCTGGATTTGTTTCTCTAGTCAACCCGGTCTAACACACCATTCTTTCTTTCATGAGCTACTTGAGTGGAACTTAGCTTTCTGCACCAACACCAAAGGCTGTTTGGTATAATTGACACAGTAGTAGCCACTGTGACCCCAGAGTATGCCTGAATCCTTTGAAGCACCTGTTCTAGAAAAAAAGTAATAAAACCCACTGTTCCTGAGCCAATTCTGACTCACAGCAACCCTAGAAAGGGTTTTGGAGGCAGTAAAACTTCATGCAAGCAGACGGTCTCATCTTTCTCCCATGGAAAGGCTAATGGGTTTGAACCGCTAAGCTTGTGGTTAGCAGTCCAACACTTACCAGACAGAGACTCCTACCAGGACTCCGTATCTGATGTAAACGCTAAAAGCAATGAACTTCTTCAGGCCTTAGGCTCAAGCCCAAGAGAGGGACAGACTCCTTATCCATGGAAACTGAGACAGAAACACTGACCAGGGCCAATCCGAGAGACATTAGTTTATTTGCATTAGTGGGCTCACAGACCAGGAAAACAGTTCTGCATCCAGAGGCGGCAAGCTGGGCAGGGATGGATCCAATAAGGGGGTAGCTGTGGGGCCCCTTCTTATACCAGGTAATAGCCAATTTTGCATGAAGGGAGTTACTGAAATGACTTGCACCATGATATTAGGTGCCTGAAACTATGTGTTAGGTTGCTGAATCTACACGCCATGTCTTGTGATGAGAAAGGAGAAAACCAGCATTTGGAAGGTGTCTGGCTGTCAGGTTGGGAATGCCTGCTTAGGAAAAGTGCAGCCATCCCAGAAAGTATTTACTCTCCTCCTTACAAGGTTCATTAAACCTTTTTTTTTTCTACTAGTCAAGTGCAATAGTGAGGGGGGGTAGACAAATAGGTCGACCAGTAATTGACTGTAAGCAATCGTTGTGAGATCTCACTACCTTCGGACCAGCCGGTTCCTTAAAACTTTTACATTAAATGCATTTAATTTACATCACTGGCAATTCCAGCACCAATATCCTATCCTCAGAAATTATCTTCAATATAACTTCATGACAGAATTGCTTTAAATGGGGGGGTAAAAAAACCTCCAACAACCCTATAATCTAACTAACCAACAATAAAGCATTAAATAAATCACAGTAGAGTCAGACAATAATGATGTGGCGTTTAAAAAGGATATTGTAATAGGATATTTGCTGTACAAACCTGTAAAATACTTTTGTTAACAAAAAAGAGATAATAGATGGTCAAAAAGAAAACCATGTTGAACTCCTATCACTCAGGATATAGTCTGGAGTATCTGAGTTATGTGAACCACAATTTACTTTTTGTGGGGGGAGTTGATTTATTGAGGCCTAATGGATATACAACAAACTTCTGCATGTTTAAAGAAGTATACACTTTGGTACGTTTTTAATAGTTATATAGTATAACCGTAAAACTGTCAACACAATCAAAACAAGGAACATATCCATCACTCCCAACTTCCTCTTGCCCCTTAATAATCCTCTTTCCTTATCTCCTTCCTTAACTCACCATCCCTAAGTAAACAGTGATCTGATTTTGGCCTTATATATTTGCATTTTCTAGTTTTATATAATTGGGATCCTGTAATATGTACTCTTTTTGGAATGGCTTCCTCTACTCAGTATAACTATAGTGTGTTTTATCTGTGATATTACATGCCTTCATAGTTCATCCATTTATTTCTGAGTGGTATTCCATGGTATGGAGTGACCACGATTTGTTGATTCATTCCTGTGGATCATGTTTACTCCTAAAAAAGTGAGTCTCTATTTCCAACCCAGGTGCAGAGCTTCAGGGAAGGGGTTTCAGACATAACATATAGGATGGTGTGTGTGTGTGTGTGTGTGTGTGTGTGTGTGTGTGTGTGTG